TTTTTTTTTTTTTTCTTTGTGACTCAGGCTGCCTGAAGTGCAGTTCTGGTAAGGCAGGTGGAGCTGGGGATCAAACTGCTGTATCCTGTTGGACCAGGTTTCCATCCCTGGCAACACATGCCTAGTCAGCCCAGCCCTGGGCACACTGAGCCCACCACCAACTCCAGGCATGGTGGTGAATGCCTATAATCCCAGTGCTGAGGAGGATCACTAGGAGTCTGAGATGCATAGTGACACCCTGTACCAAACACATTAAAAACAAAACAACAACAAAAACCACCAAACTAATAATAAAGGGACCTTGTATGCTGCCACTGCTGGCCTCCCAACTCCCAGGCTCTAGGGATCTTCATACTCAGCCTCTCCAGTCGCAGGGACTATGTGTGCCTACCATCGTGTCTGGGTTATTTACACACAGCCTAAACTGGTCACACTGTGGGTGACTTAAGCCCTTCTCCTCCTGATCTGTGTCCTGCCTTCTTCAGAAATTAGTTGATAGATTGATTGATTGAGGGACTGGGGATTGAAGTCCACCACGTCACCCGGGCTGGCCTCCACCTTGTGGTTCTCCCGCTTCAGACTGCTCTAGTGCTGGGATTACAGTCTGTAGCACTGGTTTATTCACTAAATACGGGTTGAGCAGTGGTTCCCGGCACTCATCTCCAGCCTCTCCTGGTGACACTGGAAATCCAACTAACACAGGGGCTAGCCACTGAATGCTGCGGTGTTAAGTGAGCCTGCAGTGAGAGTCGGAGAAATGAGGGAAGGTTCTCAGCGATTACTGTTGTGAGCATAAGCAGATGGGGCAAGAGAGTAGGCAATTTTGGAACACCTAAATTGTCACTAGGTATGCCAGTGCATGCCTGTAATCCTAGCACTTGGGAGGCTGAGGCAGAAAGACTGCCCCAGGCTCAGGGAGTTCAGAGTCAGCCTGAACTACAAAGCTAGTCTCTATCTCAATAAATAAATAAATAGCCTCAGGAATTTCAATTCTAGAATTTTTTTTTCCTCACAACCAGGGATTGAACTCAGGCCCTTGCGCTTAACAGGGAAGCGCTTATTCTACTGAGCCATCTCCCCAGCCCCTAGAAATGTACTCTACTAAATAAAGAAAAGCTGGGTGTGGTGGTGCACCTCTGTAATCTCAGCACTTGGGAGGCTGAGGCAGAAGGATCACTGTGAGACTGAGCTCAGCATGGGGTACACAGTGAGTTCCGGCTAAGCTGAACTACACAGTGAGACCCTGTCTCCAAAAGACAAAAAGAGAGAAGGAAGAAAGGAGAGGGGAGGGGAGG